GGGACGCATCGTTCGCTTGGCACATTATCCCGGGAGCCGGGGCTCTCTCGGCCACATGCCCACGGAAGGGGCGCCCGACCGGGGCCGGCCCTCGGCCGCCGCCGCTGCCGGGCCCGGGCCCCGTCGTCCGCCGCTGCGGCGGGGCGACGCGCGCGCGTTGTTTTTTTGTCGCCGCCCACCCTGGCGCCAGGGTGCTGGCCGGCGGCGTCGTGTGTGCGCATGTGTGTCTGTGTGCGCTCGGGAGCCGGGTCCCCCCGCCCCTCCGCTCGGGGATGTGGCTCGGGGTTCCGGTCGACAGGCCGGCGTGCCCCCCCGGCGATGTGTGACGGACTTGCCCCCTCCCCCGCTGGGGCATGCTGCCGGCGGCATCACGCGGGGCGCGAGACCAGTCCGGCGCCGGGCCGCACGTTCGTTGGAATTTTGCGCGCCGGCTCTTGTGTGTGTGTGTGTGTGTGGGCGGCCCCCTGACGCGCAGCCGTGGGGGTGGGGGGAGGATAGGGCGACTAGTCGCCAGGCTCGGAGGCCCCGTCGGTCCCTGGCCCCCCCCCCCCCCCGCCCTGCCGCATGTCTCGGGGCCCGCTATTTTACCGGGGCTGCGAGATCTCGCCGCCAGGCCGGCAGGATGCCCGAGAAGTCTGGGCGGGGGGCTGGCGCGGCCCGGGCCGATGGTGGAGTGGTGGGGCTTGGCGCGGGCTCGCTCTCTCGTTTCTCCCTGCTCCCTTGTCCCCCCCTCCTCTCTCTCTCTCTATCTCTCTCTCTTTCTCTCTCTCTTTCTCTCTCTTTCCAAACCTCGCCTTCGCTCACCCACGAACGCGAGTCTTTTTCACTAACAGTTTAGTCGCTAGATCCCGCGCACTCCGGGCAATCCCTCCTCAATTCTTGCCCTCCCCCTCCCCCCCGCCCGGTTACTTGCATTTCCACCCTCGCCGACCAGACTTTGCTGCTCTCGCCCCTGCCTCTGCCCCCCCACCCCGCCCTCCGTCTGGCCACCCCCTAGACGTCGAGACGGCCGGAGCCACTCCCCCCCCAGTCATCCTCTTCCTGGCCCCCTTGTTGGTGCACCTGCCGCCGCCATGTTTGAGGCCCTCGTTGCCGACGTTCTCCGGCGCCTGCTGGGGCGCTATGTGCAGGACCTTCATTCGGAGCAGCTTCGACTGGCCGTCTGGTCCGGTGCGTGGCTCTCCTCCCCCTCCCGCCCCGCCCCGCCCCGCCACCCACACCCCCACACCTACACCGA